GGGCTCGCCCCTACGCAATCTCCTGACATCGCGACAAGAGCTCTCGCCGAGTGGTGCCCCGTCCTCGGACTCCTCCGACCGTGTCCATCTTTCCTATCTCCTGTTTACTTCCGTCCTTTTCTGTCGTTCGCTGTCCCTGCGCCTCGTTCCCTCCTTCCTCTCTCTCTCTACCTAGCTCTTTACCGTTTAATCCTACCCTTTTAATCCCTCCTTTACCTCCACCCCTCGTGGGCTACTGTAGAGTTGTCCTCCTCCTCAGAGACAGTTACGGGGGTCACTTTTCTCTTCTTTTCATTTAAAATCACTCACTCACATACAAATTCATAATATTAAAGATTTGGTGCGTGCGCGCACACTGACACAACAGAAGATATAAGGGCGCCCACTGCCAACTGAAGGGTGTGCACTGCGGCGGAAAAGAAAGCAGGAGCAAGAAAATAAACAAATAAATAACTAATAAATAAATACTGCGTATGGGCACGGTCCGTACGGTGTGAGAGCGTCATCTGAAACATAGTATAAATGCTTATCAAAAAACAAAACAAAGAAAGCTTAGACTAACGAAGCTGCAACCTCCTCAATGAGTGATGATCGATGGCCGAACGACCGAAACGGAAAGTGACACTTAGCGAGTCCGGACGACCAGTCAGCGCATAGAGTGAACGCCTGCGCGTTCTGTACAGAACGTTTGAAACTATAAATCACAGCCTGCGAGCATGTACGCTCGTATGTGAACGCTCAAATACGCCATGCTCAACGTCCACCCGCGGATGATCGTTTACACGTTCTGTACTGAAGAGCCGCTAGGTTTTCACCGAACGTTTGAAATTGAAAGTCGAATTGCTTCGAGGGTGAACGCCTGAATGTTAACCTTCGACCACCAAAAACTGAACGCACGGGCGCGAAAACTCACCCGTCTCAGGCTGCACGCCAAATACAGAACTCGGACCAGCCTACCCTGGAGGACGTTCATCTGTCTACTAACAGCGGCAGTCGGTGGGCACGCTATGGCACTGGAATGCTATAGATGTACCTTTCTGCGATAGACCGTTAGTTCACGGTATACTCCTTGTATTCCTCAGCGAGAAACACGATTGACCTGATTTGGTGCATTCCACGAGGCGGTTTGTGATGTCACTTCGGAACGGGGAAGACGCGCAACGAACCAGTGCTCCCTTTGTTCTTAGAGATTGGCTTGGAAAGAACACCAAGGCTTAGCTTGTAATTCTGGGATGGTGCTGATTCAACGCCCGTACTATCCGTACACAGGACAAGATAGCGCTTGTCCTGTTCTTTAGAGCTTGACCTGTCCTCTGTTTCTAGCAGTTGTCCTATGTACCGGCGTTCTTTCCGTGTCGAATCCGCGCTGTCCAGTATATACGAGGTTACGCACCAACCAACCCAGCAGCGAACTTTATGTGAAAGCATGCAGTGAACGAAACGAATGTACTTTCAGGCGGCGGTCTTTCCATTTCTTTCCGTTCGCATTTTATCGCAGGCAAACTGCGACGTCCTCTCGCGACGGCCATATAAGGAGTCACTCGGGCCGTTCGCATATGCCTCTCGCTATCTGGGGACGCTGTTTCCCGCACCCTTCCCAGACGCGGCTATTGAACAGCGGTATGCCTCATACGCGCGTACCTGTGCCTGCGAAAGAGAGAGAGAGAGAGAGAGAGGGATATGGGAGACACTCGAACCGACACCCTCTAGAGAGGGTGATGCTCGAGCGCGCAAAAAGTGCCGCCGCTATCTACGTGGGACAATAGCGGGCGAGGAGATGTCGAGAGGAGGGGAGGGCAGCCCCGTCAGTCGACGTGGTGTAACCGTACACGGCGGCCTGCCGCAGAGCAAATACGGCGAAAGGAGGCTCAACAAGCGAACGGCCCCGCAGAAAGACCTGCGCACGCTCCTGGTACGCGCAAGAAAGACGTGGCAAAATTTTTGCTCTAAGAAAAAGAAACGGAGGGTTCAGCCATTATACTCGATGTATGTTGGCGTCTGCGTGTTGTTCGAGTGCGTGTGTATATAAACTAACATAATTAGGAATTTTCGAGGAGGGCTTCGAACCCTATATACACCCCCCTACTTTAATATTGGCATCGATTCTGGACATTGTCGGATTCCGCCATCTTCACGACGCTGATTGGTCCGAACGGGCACTACGCGAATGCTCTCTGATTGCCTTAAAGTAGCGTGCGTAGTCTTTTTGTTTTTTTTTTGTTTTTTAACGGAGAGCGGAATCCTGGGCTGTTGCACGGGAGTACAAAAAGCGGACGTCACCGCCTCAGCAGCGCATTTTTTGGGGGGAGGTCACGCATATTAACAACAGCCCGTATACTACTACGGCGGCGTACTCAGAGCATTCAATGAAAAGGTTGTGTACAAAAATTCGAATTCGTCGTCCGCTCCTTAACGGAGAACATGACACCGATCTTCGAAGCTGAGTTTATACTCCGCCATACGAACCTCGGGTGTGGAGTTCAGGAAATGCTAATGAGATAATTTATTTTCCTGATTTCTGAAAAAAAAATATTAGTCGAGTAAGGCAACGCCGTAATGTAGAGCGGAAAAAGTGAACCGATGAAGGAGGCCCACGTTTCTACACTGTGCCAATGCTGGAGAATGTGTGAATAATAATAATAATAATAATAATAATAATAATAATAATAATAATAATAATAATAATGTTCCACCGATGAGGACGAGATTGCGTAAAAGTCAAATGGAAAGATTCCAGACATCGCGTGAAATAAATATAACAAAAGGTGAACCGATCTCGAAGGCAATCAAAACAGGACCGATCGCGGGAGTGGTGTGATAATCAACCGGGCCGATCACGGATGCGGCCGGCGGAAGAGTCAAGCATAGGCCGGTCCAGAAGTGTGACCGATCCGAGAGGCTTTCCTCAGACTAAACCGGGCCAGTCACGAGACCGATCACGAAACGGGGCATTCAACCACGAGAGACGACAATGGTAAACTATGCCTATCCCGGGGAGGGTGCGATCGAAAGTGTAGAACGACACCGAAGACCGTGTAAAAAAGTAAACCACGGCCGAAGTTATTGACAGAAGCTGGGCCGAATGCGCTGTAGCTATAGGAGAAAGTGCAACAACGTATAAAATTTTCTACTATGCCTCACCAAAACTCTCTGGAGAGTTATAGCACCGGATGGTCCTAGGCCTTGAGTCCCCGCTCTCTTCTGTTCACCAGCGAGACGCAAGAAGAGCACAATAGAACGTAAGAACTTGCTTGCACAAGCTGCTTACTACCCGGCACCAAAACTGACACTCTTGTTAGAAGTGCAAAGGGCGCTAATGTGCAAGCAACACTTTCCGTGATTTACGCGGAGTGTGCGTATTGTATACGCTCGGGGCTTGATTGTCAAAGGCGAAACACTTGCGACATTCGCGAACATCCTCCTCCCTTTTGGATGAATGGCGCGGTCGGATATAATTGGCTGTGTCGCGCGTTGGCACGCGATTACAGGCAGTTCGTATACAGTTGAGTGCTCGCTACGAGAGAATCTCTCGTGGCAAACAACAGCCCCCCTCCGCGATAAGGGCAGACAGTCGAGAGAATCTGATTCTCTCGTCTGTCGAGAGAAAGACGAGATAATCTGTACAGACAGGTTCTCTCGTCTTGTCGCAGACAGCTAGGTGTAACATTTTACGCAGATAGCCGTTCATAGGTACGATAATGCTGCTACCGTGCGTGTAAAAAAAGAAAACTGCTCGAGAGACCTCCGAGCGAACTATCTGCCTGAATTTGCTTTATCGCTTGTAAGCGCGTCTGCTGTAGGTTTTACAATGTCTGCGTGAGGTACTTGTCGGCTGCTGCAAGGATGATCGCAAGCGCCGTTTGGAGCTGCTACGCTGGCAAAGGGCTGTCGTCTGCTCAGAGAGCCCTTAGGTACTCGTCTGCTTTGCCACGCGCGGTACAGAGACATGGTTAAGAGACCGGAATCGTCTGCATTGCCAGTTGCTGTAAGCAGACACGGTTGAAGAAGTGACCGAATCGTTGGCACTGCACGCGTGATACGCAGACAGGGTTGAAAAGAATGAGATCGAAATCGTCTGCTTTGTCACGAGCGGTGCACAGTTGCGGTTGAAGAAGAGACCGGAATCGTCTGCGTTGTCGGGCGCGGTGCGCCATTATGGTGGAAGAGATGGAATCGGCTGTCTTGCCACGCGCGGTACGGTTGATGAAATGCCCGACACGTCTGCATTGCTGCGCGCGGTACGCCGGTGCGGTTGAAGAAATGACCGAATCATCTACTTTGCCACGCGATGGAGGCGAAAGTGCTGTAGGCCCGTGTGCTCAGATTCGGGTGCACGTTAAAGAACCGCAGGTGGTCTAAATTTCCGGAGCCCTCCACTACGGCATCTCTCATAATCATGTGGTGGTTTTGGGACGTTAAATCCCACATATCATCATCATCTGCTTTGCCACGCGCGGTACGCAGATACGGTTGAAGAAGTGGCCGAATCGTCTGTTCTGCCGCGCACGGTCCGCAGACATGGTTGAACAAAAACTGCCCGAATCGTCTGCTTTGCAACGCACGTTACGCAGGCACCGTGGAAGCGATAACAGACACTAATTGTAACGAGGCTACTTTCTAATGTTTCAGGATGTCAGCTGCACAAATGACACACACAGTTCTAGTCTTCAACGCAATAGTTCTGCGTGTAGTACACAGCGATGTTTCGCTGCGAAGCGTCCGGGCGATTCGCATCACGAGCCGCCGTCTGTCATCGTGCTACGAAAAAAAAAGAAAAGAAAAAAGTGCGACGCGCCGGCAGGCACTGCGCGCGTCCGAGAATGCACCGCAGCCCCCTCTCCTCCGAAGTAGCAGACACCAACGGCGCCGAGGAGGTAAGGAGACCCGTGTGACTAGAATAAACCCGATGACCATCGCGCAAGGCAAAGCAGAGAAAAACAGAGCCGAGAGAGAGCAGGCAGGCGGCGCGCCGCCAAGCCAGCCGTGCTCCTCCTCCTTACCGTGACAGGTGCCTTCCTCGTGGGGCTCGGCGATCCTGCCGACGGCGACGTCGGCGAGGCATTCGAGGGGCGCCGCGCACACTCCGAGGCGGCGGATTCCGCCGCAAGGCAGGCCCGGCGAGCCGCGTACACACTCGCGACAGCAACCGCACCGATCCACGACTTGCTCGTCCAAGCACTTGACTCCGTGGTCGTACTCGTCGTCTGCCGCGCCGCCCTTCTTGTCGTCTGCTATGACGGCGGCAATCGCCGAGCACCACTTCTTCGTGTCGCACTGGTCATCCGGCGGGCACGACAACGACGGATCGTCGCGGTGTTGTTCACTGTGAAGCGAAGACGACGCACTGTCACCGTCCGCGACCGTCGTGATAAACACCGACGACGCGATGAGAAGGGCGAACACGACGCGAGTCGACGGCAGCTGCGGAGTGGGGCCGCCGCCGCTCAGCTGTGCAGGCAGCCGCGCGAAGAGCATGTTTGTTGATGCGTCTCGGAGCACAAGAAGAAGGGCTGCGTCGTAAAACGAGAGAAGCGGGGACGCTCGCTCCTTCCGAGAGCGATCGGCGAAACAACTACGACTACTTCAAGCGGGACGCGTTTATTCCTCGTCACTCGGCACGGAAACGAAAGGCAGTCGCAACAACATCGGTGTTCGGCGGCCCTCCGCCGCCACCGTTAAACACACCGACGACGTCCGCTAACACACTTCGCCTACACGCAACGGGCGGTGATTACTCCCGCCTCACCCGTGGTGTGTTGTCTGCGTTCCGCTTCCGTCTGCTTCAGGCAGACGGCGTACTCCCGCGTACGAAAAACGCACTACACCTTGACGGGGTGTCGATTGGTCGAGATCGGGATGTTACGTAGCGCTGGGAACGACCGTTGTAATGCGACAAGCACCGCCTGACGAGAGGAGGACGCGAAATAAGGAGCTTCGCAGGCCCGGTGAACTGCGCCGAGATCCTTCCGAGCACAACACACACACAGCCAGCCGCGTCTTCGCGGCGGACGATAGCAGACGACGGCGCGCGCGCGCCGCACGGCGGCACCACTGTAGGGAAACGGGAAACACAACTGGCGACCACTACGAGAGCAGCCGCTACTCTGATGCTCGCCTAGTGGCGGCCTGCGGCGGTCGTGCGCTGCGGTGGCGCTCCAGTCGCGAAACCCCGCGTGGAGAGAGAGTGTGAACGCAATTCTTTCTCCTCTCATTTTGTTCTCCCACACACACTCTACAAAGCCTTTCCCGCACCTACTTCCCACCTGTTTTGTGTTTGTTTTCAGAGGGAGCGCGCGGTAGCGCCTCTGGTGGTTCAACAGCGTTTAGAGCTTTTCGAAGGCGTTAGGGAGCTCACGAAAACAAAATGGCATAAAAGTGATAGCAAATAGAGGAGAACAAGGAAGGAGGAGGTAAGAAAGATGATAGAGAGATCATCCCTCTATTTTTTTTTACATAACATTGCCGCTCTATCTATTGTGCTGGGTTTTACATAGGCACCCTCCAAGCCGTGTTTGCCTCTCTTGTCCACTGGAGCCTGCGTTGGACAGATAAATAAAGTTTCTAAAATTGTCTTGCCACCCCTCGTAAATAGCATTTCTTACTTTTTATTTATTTTATTTTTATTCCGGTCTTTTACATACATTGTCACCCACGCTTGTCAGTGGTTTCAGCTTCTACTCCACCTTACCTTTTTTGGCGTCGTGCTCCACGGTCTACCGCGTGAACGGTCGATTATTTACATTCCCACGACCCCACTAAGCACAACATGGATTGCTACTCGCAAGCTGGCGCCGTCTTTTCTGTATCATGGTGCACTACTCTGAAGATCACTGCTTCGTTTGTGGAGTCACCTAGCCGTCTCTCTATACAGCTGGACTCTCGAAGCTTCGCATTTGTTATTAAAGGTGTACTTACAACTTTCGAAGCTGGGTCTGACATCAAATCCCCTGAATACAAAAACGGCTCTGAGCAATTGTGAAACTCAGTTTACGCTGATGTTTTCTTTTAGGTGCGAAGCTCTTTAAGCAGTGAATTGTACGTCCTCGAGGTATGTAGTTGTATAGTTGTAGCTAGCCACCTCTCGTTTATTACTTCGAATGCCCACTAGATAGCGGTCCTTGTATATGATGAATACACGATGAAAAGATGCGAAATGGCGGTACTTTGAGTGTTCACTGGATGAACAGACGCACAGACAAACAAACGGACGGACAGACGATTCACGGTTTACCGACAAAACTCTCTGAAGCCTCGCCCCACTCATCATCATTCACTCCGTGGATATGCTGTGATTTTTTATATTAAAGTCAATTTGGAACATGCCGTACCTACTGACTGTCATTGCCACTATCGTGGCATCAGGCTAAGGTGTCAATTCTATTGACTTCACGCAACATTACGGCCACTTGTTGTGAGCTGAGGTACCAAAACATTCGAAATAGCTGCTTGTGCCTCACCAATGGAGCGATACCGAGGTGCAGGCGTGGAAACGTCACGATATGCTGCGCTGCAAGCTCATACCGTACTGTGACGTCAGGATGCAGAAGATGGTTTTAAGATTACACGCGTTGTACCCCGAAAAACTTCCGGCTACCTCATTTACCAGCTCCAAACGTCGAAACTGTAAGCACGTTTTCAAGTTTGTGTCGAGGGTAACGGAAGTAAGTCTCTTTAGTTTTTCAGATAAAAGGAACGTGCGTAAAGTTCGAAGAAATCTTTCATAATTTTTATGTAGCTCAAAGAACATTCATTTGAATATATAGCTACGTACGAGTGGCGTAGCGATCCACACGATGAGGAGGAGGACGACAGCGGACAGACTGGCGCTACCTAACCTGTGTGGCTGGCGCTGCTCGCTCAACCGGCTGTAAATATAACTGTGTCTATGCTATTCCGGGTCGGTCTCCTTCTCGTAACATATTTGGCGGAAGTGCTGGGCATCGATCCCAGTATTCTCGCAATAATATTTTGCCAAATAAGGAAAGGAAAGGGTAGACAATGAGCGGGCTGATTTGTAAAACTCTACGTGATCCGATAACATTAAGACACATCGGTGAACGAAACTTGATGTCAACATTGTAACGGGACCAGTGTCAGGCCCACGGGTCGGCTTTATGCTCTCCCATAGTAGAGTATCTCGTACTCTAAATCGTTAACTTTTTTTCCTAAACACACAAACCACGAAAGGGAAATAACACATTGCAGTATTCTTCAGGAATCACTCACAGATGGCCTCCGAGATGGCGGGCTCGCGGCGGGTACTAGTTCATTTCTGAGCCTCTTGAGGGCGTTGTCTTTTGTTTGACGCAAGAATCAACTGAACGTTTTCGTGGCGTTGTTCTTTTAGGTCACTATATCTGTCGCCATTGGTGGTTGAAAGGGGGAAGCTGTGACGTCGCTTTTCATAGTTCCTCACTTTTGACAACTTCAAACGCGAGGAGATTGCGAAGAAAAAGAAAAAAAAAACCTTATCATGTCCAACGCAGCTTGTAAACACTTTCTCCCCTCTGAATTCCGGAAGCAGGGTTTTATTACATTCTCGATAAGCTTAACCTCTCGAAACCTCTCCTCAGGGCAACTACGAGGACTTTCCTTCACTGTTGTTTTCTGGCGATGTTGGCGATCCAGACACTTTAACAGAAGCGTATACACTCCTCAAGCCTCCGTGTCTGGCTGATATAATTCGGAATGTTGTTTCTGTCAATAGTATTTCTTTTTTTTTCTGTATTTCTGCCCCCTCACTATCGATTCTCGAATTCCTTTCTTAGTACATCATCCTCAGCTCGAACTGGACATCGTCTTCAATGGGTCCTGCTGTCAGCGTCTCGTTTCGCAGATCTCTCGTCTCGGTACACGAAACTCGACGAAAGAAAAGCCCCGTACCAACAGTTCCAGATGGCGGGAGCTTCGATATCAACCGAAACTCTTCAGTCGTCCAGCGAGACATCGTCGACTGCGGGTCCTACGAAAAGAACCGAGATTGACCTGAGAATCTAGCGTAAAAGAAGAAAAAAAAAGACCGTTGAGATAAAACAAACAACCAAACAAACAAACAAAAAACCTGGAACATACTTTCGATAATCTGCCGTGTTGTGAAACATCTTCACGTATATCTTCCGCGTCCCGTGTTTTCCTCAGTCTAGTGTCCTTTTTTTATTTATCTTTTTTGTGTGTGCTTGGAATTCCGTTCGTTCGAAGAAGCAGTCACACTCACGATCGCATGTTCCAGTTTCCTTTTTTTTCTCCTTTTGATTATTGGTTTTTCATCGATTCGTTTTGCTAGCGTTGTTTGCGCGTATTTCGTTATCAACTTCACTGACTCCCTCCCTCCCCGCTTCGGCAGAAGCTCGTTTTCTCTTTCTTATACGGTTCATTGCTCTTCCCTTCACCCAACACACTCACACCCACACACACACGCACCCACCCACAAGCAAGAAACTAGGAAACACACATCGTAACAAACACAACAGCGCGCAAGAAGGAGCCGATGAGGCCCGACCGTTGCTTCCTTCCTACGCACCAAGATCGCCCATGAGAGCAGGCGATAGGGGGCGCAGTGAGTCCTTGTATAGTGTGTAGAGTGGTTTTAGTGTAGGGAGTTCTACTAGCCACCCTAGTTCTACGTTGTGGATAGGTATACTGCTCGCTCTATCGGCTGAGCGAAGAGAGAGCACACGGGGGTGTGAGTTTCACCCCATCGCCTCCTCCTCCTCTTTCTCACCTCTCGATGCGTGGACCTTATCATCGCCGTAGGAACACATTCCCACGTGCTCCCGTTCGATCGTGCTCGGGTATCTTTTTTCGCCCGGTGCTGCTCGCATGACCGCAGGAAGCGATGCGGTCGCTGCGTTTCTCGGGAGCTATGGTGTCGACTGGAGCGGCTGCACTCTCTTATGAACTTATCTACTTGAGCTATGTGTAGTTTAAATGCCGTTACCGCCGCCATTAGTAGGGGTTTTTAGCTTGCACGTATACTTCTTTGCGTTACCGTGTCAGCGGTTTACTTTGTTACCGGGACACGAGTTCTAGCAGCATTTTGCTACACATACGTAAACCTCTACGTTCGTAGTACATAAAAGTTTACTACGTTCGTAGTACATAAAAGTTTACGTTTGCCGATGATGACGGTCATGTATGCACACATACGTTATTTCTTTTCAATAAAACTCAATCAGCGCTGCGGCGCAATTATAATAACTTTTAACATGTAAAACTATCAACTGTTTTGCTGATATATAATTACTTAACCCATTAAAGTTGGCTGCGTGCAGAAGGCTATAAGTATAGCCAGCGAACGGTTTTTTAAGCCCCTCTGGTTGAACGTTTGGCGCCCAACCGCATTCGCGAAGAAGTGGTCGTCGATATGGCAACTAGTGTGCTGCAAGATCCATTCCTGGCTCAAAACGTTCCATGCAAGTTTCCTGTAGGTCTTCTGACGCCGTCGCATTTAGCGAGCAGTCGTATATGGTTGACCACGGTGGTTTGTATAGCCGCACTCGCGCGCTATGTCAGCCGCTTGCTGCAGGAGGTCCTCCAGCTCGGACAGCTCCTCTTCTGTGCCGGAACTATTGCGGAGCCAGTGATGGCTATTTTTTTTGTGAGTCGGAAAGAACACTACATAACAAAGTCCAATACGAGACGCACTTACCTCTTAATTTCCTTCTTCTTATACCGCAAAAAAGAAAACAAAAACGCAGGAGGATTGAGTTAAGCCTTTTCCTCGACACTGCGAATGGTGAAGCACCAGCCGAGCAGCTCGGAGAGTCGATCGGATATCTTCAGCCACCTCGCAGGGTCAAGGAAAGGATTCACATTCAATGCCTTTTTTACGAGGGCGATATCACCGCTGAGCGTATATAGCTTGCGCCCAGTCATCGATGTCGTTGATGACAGGGCGAACTGTGCAAAGTCAAACAATGTGTTCGCCGTTGGCGCTTCTGCTTCGGCTTGTCTCGGTGGCTTGCTACGGGCCGTGAACGTAAAGCCTATCCGGCGAGTAGTTTACGTTACGTAAACGTTTACGTTCCGTAAAAACTCGCGCTTGCGCAGATTCTATCTGGTATCCGGTGACACGGTAGCGTAAAGAAGTATAC